CTTACTAATATACCAATGTACTAATATACTAATGTACTAATATACAAATGTACTAATATACTAATGTACTAATATACTAATGAACTTCTTTTGAGAATTTTTAATAGAGTTAATTCAGAATATTTCATTTGTAGATGTTCGTCGCTTATTTTTATAGGGTCATAACTTCTATCTACTGCTACTGGTTTTAAGTACATTTTTCCGTTGTTTATACCTGTGATATCAGATCGTATGTTAATAGCATGCCAAGCATATGTGTAAAAAGTGCCTGATTTCTGACTTAAAATTATGTTCAGAGTTATAATGTACAAACAAACATAGAAAGGAACTTAAGAGAGAGTAATTGTATAATTATAAACTGATGAATGTGTATAAATAGATACGACGGACCAATCAACATGTCCTATTAGAATACTTAACGGACCAATCAACGTGTTCTATTTAAATACTTATTTAACTTAAATAATACTTCGTTTAAGATTTACTTTCCACCCATTCTTTTTAAAAATGAGCTCACCCATTAACAGTTGTAGATGAATATATGCTAAGCTAACAGCATAATAGCCCTGATGATGGTAATCATGTTATAGAAACTAACCGACTGTAACTAACATTAAGATTTTATCTTTCATTGTGTTTTTTGTTTTTTTTACTCTCAGTATTATTGAGCTAGTTTTAATGTACAAGAATATCGAATAAAACAACCTATAAACACCACATTTACATTCATAGGCGGAATTTTCATTAACTGTTACTTGGAAATGTTTTCCTGTGACATAACCTAACGAAGGATTATTGTATCGCAGTATAACCAAGCTTAACTTCGCCTCAGGTGATGTCAAAAGCAAATAATATACACAGTGATCGCCCAGTATTTTGAAGGCCTGTTAATCCGAAGTCTCGAAGACCCGATAGTCACAGATTTTTTGGTTTTCACAATATAGGTTAAAATTGAATAAATAAACAAATTCCATAACGCCCCTAACGACTTGCTCTTGTTTTAAATACAAACAACAGAAATATTTGAATCGACATCGTAGTGTACAGCTAGGTGTCGGGATAATAATTTTACCTACTGGAAGCTTTCAACATATTTAAATAGTCGGGGATATAACATTCGTTGTCACAGCACTATGGATAAGAATTTTATATGTCTATACACTCAGAAGAGCTCGATTCCCAAATCCAATCATCATACGTAAATATGCGGGTTCTGCGGCTAAAGCTATACATGCATACAAGAAAATATCATCGGGGAAATGATGATAAACATTATCCATACATTCATGATCATATCCTGGAGTGTTTTTGTTATACAATTTTAGACATTTACCAAAAACAAAAAACAATTTAATATTTTAATTGTTAAAAAATCAACCCACATCTTCGGACTATTGAGCGTTCAGAGTAATGGGCCCTCGAACTAACGGACCGTCACCATATACACGACTTAACGTGGCCTATAAACAGCAACAGTCTTTTTAAACAATCCATTCGTCCGAGTTCCTGGCGTCCATGAACTGAATCAAATTTTCTTTGTCATCTTTCAGTCTGACTGGTGGTATTAAATTGGAGTTAAACGATCTCTTTGCTTTTTCTACACGATTAATTGACCAGCAGTATGGATTAGTCTAAGAGCTTAGTCTAACACAGATGGACAAGATTTTATCATCATGACTGTGCATTGTGAAATATCATAACAAACATTAATGAGTGGTTTAATTAGGCGGAACAAAAAGCTTAAACAGTGGTTGATGTGTGTTAACTAATTTTATAAAGCACTACCACGTATTTATGTTTAAACTTGATATATAAATGCATATATATATGTACACCTAATGCTATGTTATACATTCATTGTTCATAGGCGATTAAAATCGGCACTATAAAACAATAATGAGCTTAACATAACCAAAAACATGTAATAAAACTGAAATTCAAAATTATGCCTCTGTTGTCATTCGTTGTTGTCATCCTTAAGTCATAATGGATAATGTCTGTGGTCATAGCATTCAAATGCACTGGGAATATTCCATCTATCAGATAAAATCCAAACGCCAGAAATTAAGGAGAATCAGTTAAGGGTTAGGAGTTGAGTGTTTGAACCCGCAACGTCTCAACTCCAACTGCTTTTCGCTCTCTGCAGCCGGTTGTGGGAAGGCAGTAACCCTTAATATTGAGAAATAGCTTTAATGTAGAATTAAACCAACAAAAACAAAATTCTGCAAAGTAAAACTCCAAACCTCCACCCTTCTACTTGATATTATAAGATATAATAATGATATTCTTATAGTAGAAATGAACCACCCTAAATTCTACAGAACTCCCAACCTCCAACCTTCTACTTGATATTATAAGATATAATAATGATATTCGTATAGTAGAAATGAACCACCCTAAATTCTACAGAACTCCCAACCTCCACCCTTCTACTTGATATTATAAGATATAATAATGATATTCGTATAGTAGAAATGAACCACCCTAAATTCTACAGAACTCCCAACCTCCACCGTTTTATTTAATAATTAGTGATCTTAAACAAAACAAAGGACTCTTAACGTTCAAGCATAAACCGGGTGAGCTATATATATATATATTGTAACTTTTGAAGTTACCTTTTCCCCACACTAAACATGCTCGCCCTTTCAGCCGTGGGGGCGTTATAATGTGACGGTCAATCCCACTATTCGTTGGTAAAAAAGTAGCCCAAGAGTTGGCGGTGGGTGGTGATGACTAGCTGCCTTCCCTCTAGTCTTACACTGCTAAATTAGGGACGACTAACGCAGATAGCCCTCGTGTAGCTTTGCGCGAAATTCAAAAAATAAACAAACCTTTTCCCCAAAACTTTATGTAAAATTGAACCAAAGAACAAATTTTCTAGACAGAATATTTTACTTCTACGTATTATGCTGTATTCTGATTTGTTTTAAAACTGCTCTTTCGTCATCATATATTATTTTGGACAACGCACAGGTTTAATATTATTTTTTGTTCTATCTTATATAATATTGATTTGGAATAGATACCCACTTTTGTACCTGTTTAAATTCAAAGTGTAGATAAGCGCTTGATTAAACAACTCCTCTTATGACTTGCTAATTAGCGTTTTTGCTAACATATTGGCGTTCTGTTTTATCCAATGTTACTTTACTAGTCCCTTTCCATCACGCTAACGGCGGATATATGTAAAGTTTGTCACTGTTAGTAGTATTTCGAAAGATACATATTATCTTTATTTTGTTTGTAAGCGTATATAAATGATTTGTAATTTTCGAATACTCATGAGAATAAAAGTAAACACCTTAATACCAGTGCTATATCTTCTGGACGGTAAGTACAAACATAATAATAGCTCGTGCTTAGGAAATAAATAGGTTCACATACGGAAGGAAAACACTGTGTTTAGCTTTATGGTTGAATTGGAAAAATAACGATTTCAGTTCTTATAAAGAGGGTGAAAACAGTCAACCCGTGAATTTGTCTGTTTTTTATGGGCTTCTCTGAAAGAAGAGAAAGTAAATGAGAAACAATGTCAACATGTTTTATGTTCTTCTGTGTTAACTTTCATGATGGACATTGTTTTGTGTAGAAACAGCATTGAGTGCTATTGCACAGCAGCTGAACATGGCAAGTTAGGGCGGATTACCAGGGGTGAGGAGAGAGGAAACATATTTTCTGGTGAACATAGTGATATCCTTGCCATTAAGAATGGTGCTCTGAATGTTAGACATTATAGTAACGAGACCCAAGCAACATTGTCGGTCCTACCGACCCGATTACGTTTTAGTTGACAACAATGCTCGTTCCCACCGTACACTGCCTACCTGCAACAGGATATTATTGTGAGAATAGATTGATTAGCATTCTTGCAGGATCTCATACCCAAGAAACACATATAGGACCATCGTGTACGTCACTTCTACAACTACTAGATTTGACAGTTTAAGTTGGAAAAGGCCTTGGTGAAGGAGTGAGGAAAAATCCCCCGAACTCCAACTGAGATTCATAGGATGTATACAGCGATGTTATGGGGCTGTGTTTAGCCATTTGCGATGAATACATTAGCCATTAAGAATAGCATAAGCATTTTGCAAACACTAATATTCTGTATTTCATATTCGTGATCCGTTGTGTGGCAGCACATGTCACAAACTATTAGTGTGATGTTTAGGTTACCGTTGTGGATCAGTTCTACTACGCTCGCAGCTTGTTGTTGTATGACTTTTTTAAAGATAATTTAAATTCCACTGTCATCAACATTTTACGATTTATAATAAAGTTTTAATTACTTGCAAATCACGTGTCAGTAATTTGTTGATCTCAACTCCTTTCTGTCCATAGCTAGTGCTATAGTCTTTCTTTCTTTTTCTGATTAGTCAATGTTGGTTGGATTTTATTTTCCTAGTTTTAAAACCACACAAAGGACAAAAGTTTGAATTAATTAAAGAAAAATTGTTTATACTTTAACTTAAAACAGTAAAAATCTCCCATTTGTTTACACTGGTAGGAATAATCTAGCGTAGAATGGTAATAAAATATATTATTTTTAGTATTTAAAAGAGACACATTGGCGGTGATTGTTGTTCCGCCTCCTACCTCTGAAAAGACTAAAAGAGTCGTAACTCGTTTTAGAAGCAAGTTTGATGTATTGTAGTCATTATTGTCTAGCTACAACATCAGCTTATTCTTGTAGGTTTTGTGGAAGGTCTCTCAAGCAGAACATTTTTGGAAAATATTTTAATAGTAATGTAAGAACTAGTTCCTAAACACACAAGTTGAGCATGGAAAACCAAAAAAATATGAACGATACGTAACGGTAAATTTCTGATTTGATTTTCAATTAACGAAACGCAATTGTATCATATATCATAAAAAAAACAAACATATCTAGTACTTCGTAGAGTTATTTTATTTATTTTTATTTTATTTGGACTTTTTACATCTTCTTTTGTAAAGTAAATCGTTATTAACTGTTTTGTTTTTCTTTGATGTCACAGTTTCCCTCCAAGGAAGCACAAAACAGCACAATATCCAGAAATTTACCGGTTTTACGTTGGTGGTCGAGCCCAAAGTGCTAGAAAACGACTTCGACATCACCAGCAAACCCTCTCCTAATACCGGATTTTTTCAGGTATCTATCTATCAGTTTTTACCTTTGATGCTTTTTGATAGCAATTTGGACAAACATTTTAAAATTTCAATTCAGATCAGTTGTAAACAGGATTTATGGTGACATTTAACATAAAAAATATTAAGTGAATTTGGTTGTAAGTAAGAGTTTTTTATGTTAATGGTTCTTCCAGCTGTTTGGAGATGCTCTATCTAAGTTCTCAGAAGAATGTCCACATGCTATTGTCCATACTTCAGTCATTCCAAAATCAGAGATTCAAGTGATGTGGACAGCACCCCCTTCATCCTCTGGCTGCGTTGTGTTTAAGTAAGTAGTTTTTCTCATTCACACATCCACAGCTGTGAAAAATGTCAAAATTTGAATGCTAACGTTTTTCGCTCTCTCACTTCCCGTGATACTCACTTATTTAGTGTGGGCCTTTTCTCTTAACCCCCACCCACCCCTGGTGGATGATAGGTAAACTTCTTCATGGCTTATAATAATAAAATTCGGGATTCGATCGAGAAGAGGGCAAGTGCAGATAGCCCATTATATAGTTTTGTAAATAGCAAATCTCTTCTATAGCGCTATGTGTTCTTTTACATACATTTTCCCTACCTTTTCCCCATTTTATATAAAATATATATTACCAATAATATGCATATATCGACCTTTTCTATTCGTAGTTTGCTAACACTGAAATGAACAACAACAACAACAACAATATTGCTTGTAAAATTGTTTTAAAGATTTCCCTTGATTTTTTGACGATCGACTCTCAATCTGAGGGTCGTGGGTTCGAATCCCCGAACCGAATATGCTCGCTCTTTCAGCCGTGGAGGCGTTATAATGTGCAGTCAATCCCACTATTCGTTGGTAAAAGTATAGCCCAAGTGTTGGCTATGGTTAGTGTTGACTAGCTGCCGTCCTTCTAGTCTACAACTGCTAAATTAGGGACGGCTAGCCCAAATAGCCCTCGTGTAGCTGTAAGCGAAATTCAAACCCAACTCAACCCTTTTTTGTCTTTCAAAAATCCCATGATATGTATGGCACACAAAAATAGGTGATATCCACATTTTCAAAACAAAAAAAACTCTGAAATACTTGTACCTTAGATTTTGTATGGGATTTTCAGCTTCTCATGTTTCGGTATTTTTTTTGAAATGCTGTCACTTCTCATGACCAAGCCTTACGTTTTGTGCAATTAGTGTTATATCTAAGCAACCGTCTTGCGCATTGTTATTGAATCAGTATCGATTTTAAATGACGTTTCTCAAGTTAGAGCATACAGGATGCAAAAAAACAACAAACTTTTATATACTCACCAAGTGTATTATTTCCGTCACTTTGGTAAAAACATGCATACTGGGCAAAGAATTGTGACTTATTAACATTTAAGAAGGAAGGAACTCTGACTTTTAGAAACATAAGAGGGAAGAACTGTGACTTGTTTAAACATAAGAGTGAAGAACTATGATTTGCTAAAATATAAGAGATGTAGAAATGTGATTTATTAAAACATACAAGGTAAAGAACTGTAGCATGCTAATACATAAAGGCAAATAAATGTGACTTGTTAAAAATATACGGTTAAAAACTATGACATGTTTAAAACACGCGGAGAAATGAACTATGGCTTGTTTTATATTTAAAGTATGTTATCTTATAGTATAAAGCCGCTAGTGTGAGATGGGTTATTGAAAACAGCTGTTAAGTGAACGTTGCTTTCTTTCAACAACATTTCTATCTATCGATTTAGTGATTTCTTTCAACAATATTTCTATCTATCGATTTGATGATTTTTTTTTCAACAATATTTCTCTCTATCGATATGATAATTTCTTTCAACAATATTTCTATCTATCGATTTAGTGATTTCTTTCAACAACATTTCTATCTATGGAGTTAGTGATTTCTTTCAAAAATATTTCTATCTATCGATTTAGTGATTTCTTTCAACAATATTTCTATCTATCGATTTAGTGATTTCTTTCAACAATATTTCTATCTTTCGATTTGGTGATTTCTTTCAACAACATTTCTATCTATCGATTTAGTGATTTCTTTCAACAATATTTCTATCTATCGATTTGGTGATTTCTTTCAACAACATTTCTATCTATCAAGTTAATGATTTCTTTCAACAATATTTCTATCTTTCGATTTAGTGATTTCTTTCAACAATATTTCTATCTATCGATTTAGTAATTTCTTTCAACAATATTTCTATCTATCGATTTTTTATCCAACCAGTGATTTCTTGTTTCACTTCGAAACCTGGACAGAACTAGTGGAAATATGCAACTACAGAGGAACATGTCCAGCAACTCAGCTAATTTTCAATAAAAAAATCATTTGTAAATAACGTTTAAGAGCATACTGATTATCTTATATATATATATTTACGTATATTGCGAACCGTGGTGTCTGTCCGAGCGTTCGTCTGTCTTCTGTTTGAAAAGTTGCGCACACTGGCAAAGCTCAACATTCACTTTTGATATGACGGGAGAATAGGCATGAATAATGTTGATGCTAAATTTTATTTCGCAAGCAGGATATTCTACACTAAACTGTTAGGAATTGATCACACCATCATTCACATTTCAAAATGTGACGTAACTTATAGAATAAAAATGTAGGTTTACTGTATGTTATTGTTGAGCTACTCTTAGCATGACTGAAATACTCAACAATTACAGTTCGCGGTGGGTGATATAAGTAGCTCAGAGCTTTGGCTGTGAGTGAAACCGAGAGTGTAACATAATTTACCTTTTTAAAGTCCATGAAATAATCGAAATTGATAGATTAACTTAAACTTTTCCTGTTACTGGGGACGGGTACTTTTGCTTGTGAATGATAAAGCAAAGTGTTGGGTATTGTTTAACCATAATACATGAATAATAATTTTTATAAAGAAGAGGGTTTTGATGAATAGAACTGAGAGAAAATAAAATATGTATATATCTGAGAAGTTCTGAAAGTAGTAAGTACATTAGCTGGAGAAGTGACTCGGTGGTTCAAAAAGTCTCTTATATATCGTTACAGAAAATTATGTTGAAAATTATCGTAAGATTTACTAAATGTTTTCTGTGCTCTCAATGAAACATTAATTGCATTAAGTAACAAAAAATCATGTTATACACGGATTGGACACATTATTAATCCCCTTCCTCTCCCGGCATTTCACGGATTGAACACATTATTAATCCCCTTCCTCTCCCGGCATTTCACGGATTGAACACATTATTAATCCCCTTCCTCTCCCGGCATTTCACGGATTGAACACATTATTAATCCCCTTCCTCTCCCGGCATTTCACGGATTGAACACATTATTAATCCCCTTCATCTCCCGGCATTTTTAGAACATTTCATTTATTTGCATACGTAAAATAGATTTATCATGGGAAGAACTTGAACATTGTATTCGCCATCATAATCATGTTTTGACACTTGGGAAGCAATTGCATATAATAAATTCAATGACTGTGTTATACTCAAACAAGACTCCTTTCGAATCTTGTAGGGTTTTGACATAACACTCAACGGTTGCATTATAGTCCAATAATACTCTTTTCGAATCCTGTAGCGTTTTGACATAACACTCAACGGTTGCACTACAATCCAATAATACTCTTTTCGAATCCTGTAGAGTTTTGACATAACACTCAACGGTTGCACTACAATCCAATAATACTCTTTTCGAATCCTGTAGAGTTTTGACATAACACTCAACGGTTGCACTACAATCCAATAATACTCTTTTCGAATCCTGTAGAGTATTGACATAACACTCAACGGTTGCACTACAATCAAACAACGGTCCTTTCGAATCTTGTAGAGTTTTGACATAACACTCAAAGGTTGCAATATAATCAAACAAGAATCCTTCGGGCATCCTGTAGACTCTGGACCATGTTGAGTCCAAATTGTCTTTGCAGGTAAAGCTAGTCCAACCTAATATTAGAAAAGGGTTCCATGAAGTAGCTAGTCTGTTATGGACAAAACAACAAGAAGAATATGACCTAACTTTTGCTAAAATTGTTTTTAAAGATGTTTGGTGGATTTTTTTATATGTTACGGTTCAAAATATTCCCAATTTCTCCAACCTTTTGCTGATTTGTGTTGTTGTTGCTAATATTTGATTTATAATATTTAAAATGTTTATTATTTTAATTACCGCTGAAAACTGCTTTGTAAATCTTAAATATCGTTAGATTCCACTTGCTGTAGAGTTCTGTGTATCTTTCAGAGCAACGATTTTGGAATTCAGAGACGTGTGGTATATGGATGATGGAGGATTGACGAAAGAGCTGTGTGAGGAAGGTAAAACTTGTAACATTTTCAGTGTTTACGTTGCTTTGTCGAATGTTCATCAAAATGTCTGGTTTTCTTACTGATTTTTCAAACGTGTACTTAATGCCGTACATTCTCGTAAAATATGTGAAGTTAAAATCCGCAAATTAAGATAACTTTATTTCTTTGTAAGGTATATACACGAAACAACTCGTACTTGAAATGTGTAATTTATAGTTGCTTAAACGTCATATTATATATATATATAGTTTAATTATTGATGACGCTTGCTTGGCATCTTCACGTTTTAATTCAACAAAAGTTATGCTGTTCTTTCTTCTTTCCAGTTATTTCATTTGATTTATTTCACTGGCGTATATATATATACACGTGAAGTAACTGTGTACAGGTTACATTGATTTATTTCACTGGCGTATATACACTGTAACCTGTACACAGTTACTTCACTTGATTTCTTTCACTGGCGTATATACACTGTAACCTGTACACAGTTACTTCACTTGATT